AAAATGGAAACCTGTCTAAGAAAGCAACTGTGGGAATTAGTTAGCACCTGACAGACATGAGAGAGAATTCTCAATCCTGACTCAGGCCAGGAAGGAGCAAGGTCAATGCCCCATGCCCATGGAAAAACGCAAGGTGCTTTTGACCCAGGAGCAAGGGCTGTGGGAGGAAGGGGACAAGGACTGGACACTCTTGCCACTGCCTCCCTGGGAAGAGCTCTGCTCCCGGAGTGTGAGTTGTTGAGAACCTCAAGTGTTGCACTTAGAGCAAACTGACATGTTTACTGTCATTTGTCTTGCTTTCTTAAACTATATTTAGTATGCTCCAATCTTTAGCCATTTGTTTCCTGATGCCTTCCTTCCTCTGAAAGCAGACTGTAGGCACACGGCTATCGTGTCATTCAGATGCTGATTTCAGCACCACCACTCCCTATCTGGTTGCAATCCTTGTTCTGAGGATCTCCTGTCTCAGTGCAGGAGACATCAGCAGAGAGGAGGTGGAGCAGGAAAGCCGTAAAAGCGCAAGTATCTCTGGGATGCATGCTGGGGAGCCAGGTTAACTTAGAGGGTTAAGAATAGAGTAATGAGTAATAACTGCTCAGTTATTGCACTGTGAAGCTTATTAAAACGATGTAATAGAGTCTTGGTTATTTGGGTGATAGCTGGGTTAAGGGAGAAACAGACAAGCGCAGGTGTATGAAAATAACTTTAACAGCAGAGTGCTTCCCAGCTGCCTTCTCCCGGGCTCCCTTGTCCTTCGTCCTAACCAGTCCTAACATTGGCCAAGGAAAGGGTGTTGGAAGGTGCTTCACACGCGTACTCAGGGTGGGGGTGGGGGCGCTTAGAAAGTGAAACAAGGAGTGAAGCCTGATAACTCTCAGGGTAATAAATTCTTACTAGGGTTGACTGTGGGGGAGCTAGCTTTATGGTGCCAGGATGCAAGGTGGGGAGAGAGCCAACTCCTGCCATCTTCCAGGATGGAAGCTCCCTTGACCCTTCCTTTGTAACCCTGGGCCATTACAGCCCCACATGTTTGGTTGATTCCAAAATGAGAAAGCTGTGTGGAACTGAGGGCTGATCGTCAGCACACAGAAGAGGAATATGAAAATGGTTTTCTGTTTCCCTTTCTGATTAACCCTGAAATGTGAGCCTTTTCTTACTTCTTTACTCCTCTGTTCTCTGGCATGCGACTTAATATAGGGCATCTGAGGATGGAGGAAAGGAAGAAAGGGAAGGAGGGAGGGCTGGAGGGAGAGAGGAATGAAAGAAGGAGAAAAGAGGGAGGGAAAGGAGAGTAAGGGAGGGGATGAAAAAAGAATCCATTACAGTAAATTGCAAACATAGCATAGATTCTCCCCCATGTTTCTGTATGCCCCTTGAACATGACCTTGCTGTTTCCTCACACAATCATGTCTTTAGCTGGGTAGCACTTGGGAGGCTAAGGCAAGAGGATTTTGAGTTTGAGGCCAGCCTGGACAACACAGTGAGACTCTACATAAAATCAAGTCAAGAGATGGAGTCTCTTTTCTTCTCTGGATCTTGGTATACATGACATTAGGAAACATAACACAGTGGCTTGAAAAACTGCCCGCAGACACCGTATGTATTTCCTGCTGTCTCAGACTAACATATAAAGAGGTGGGACTAGCTCCTAGGGGCCAGGCGGCAGCTCCATAGCTCACACTAAGTGCCACCGATGGGGATGAGGCAATCTGGGTGCCAGATGACTGCAGGCACGTAAGTGGTCTCAGGTGAGGCCAAAAGAACCGTAAAGTAAGTCCATCCCCGATCCATGTGTTCAGTTCTGAAATGAATCCAGGCTGCCTATCTGACATCCCATCTTTAGATTATGGGACTAAGCAACCTTCAAAGCTCAGGACTGTGGCACACTGTAGTTGCAGTGTGATGATCTGCTTGTGTATTATGAGCTGTTTCCACATGGAGGGCAGCCCTATGGGCCATGGTCATAGAAATAAGGGATGCTGGTACAAACTTGTGGACTAATTTCTGGCAGGCAGCTTACAGGGAATCTCAGCACATACATTAAATGATATATGGTATACAAACTCTGGGATTCACATTCAGACTCTGAAGGAAGTGCATGGAGATCCCTGTGTTATTGAGGCTAACCATACAGCATGCAGACTCTAAATTCAGGGACGGTATCTCTTCTATGTCTGAGTTTATGAGTACCTTGGAGCTTTATTACTGACTTCTAAATTGCTTTGGTGGTAACACAGGAGCCAGTAAGAGATAAAGGAAATTCTTCACTGCTTCATTTTTCTATGGAGCCAGCTTCTAAGGTAGGTTTAAGTGTTTCGGGGCAAGGTATGGAGGTGCACTCCTTTAATCCCAGCACAGTGGAAGCAGAGGCAGGTGGATCTCTCTGAATCTGAGGCCAGCCTGGTCTACATAGTGAGTTCCAGGACAGCCAGGGATATGTAGAGAACCTGTCTTAAAAAATATACATATATGTTTTGTAGTGAGAATTTTGGTTTCTTTAAAAACAAGAAGTATTATAAGACCATGTTTTTGTTTTAATTCCAGGTGTGGGGATACGGGGCTGCTTCATAGCAGCTGACTATGATTTGCCTTATGCTCTGAGAGGGGCATAATTTTGCCAGCTGCAGATAGTTTCTGCAATTGTGTGACATTTGGAATTCTGGGAACTTTTCAGAGGGTAGATAAATGCTAGAGCTCCAATAGGGAAGCTCTAGCTGGTGGGTTGTTGGTTGCTCTTGGTCTCAGGTAGTTGTGCGCAAAGAAATAACAAGAAATTAGATATCCTGATGGTGAAGATGAAGCTTGCCCTGAGGAACTGGAAGACCTTAATCAGCAGGAAGTAGTCTAATGGTAATGTGGCCACCTTTCCGAACCCTGACTCTATTCAGGGAGCTCTTTCCTCTCTATCCTGTTTTCTCTTTTATCTAGTGTTAGGAGTTTGAAAGAGAAGAAAAGAAGTGGAGAAAGGTGGAAGAAAGAACACACAAAGTAGCAAAGGCTGGCTACAGTATTTGTAAGAAAAGTGATGACAGATCCCTGGCTGGATGACATTTTCTTTAGGGCACTGAAAATGTTTAAATCAAAATTAACCTATGACTAGGCTTTAGGAATTCCTTTTATGTGAGTTAACCTTATCTCCTGCCTTTTCCATTTTTTTTTTGGTTTTTTTTTTTTTTTTTTTTTTTTTTATAAAAGTGATTCAATAAATTATTTGCTTTGTAATTACCATGCCAGGTACTGTGAGGCACACATCCAAAGAATGAGAATCAAAAACCACAGTACGGGTAGTCTTGATTCTTTGTCTAATGGCTTCCCATTTTAGTGAATGTGAGCACATATTCATTTATTCATTCATTTCTTCTTGAGGACTATTTCAACAGTGTATGCAAAGTGCTAGGAGAGCGACTACTGGTCCAGGTGTTATTGGTGGGATTCGACAGGGCACCATGTCCAGACTAGGAGAGCCAGGGAAGGCCTCCCAGTGAAGATAATGTCTGGACCACATCACACAGAGTAAGGGTTAGAAAGGTGTTGTAAGTGGTTATTAATATTTACTATTGGTTTATCTTCTAGTAAAGCTTGCTGTTAATCTTAAACAGCTGTATAACCAAATCACCAC